GCATGGTAGGGAAGGGGAGGGGGTTTCTGCTCTGGCAGCCGGGAACGTGTGTCCAAACCAGCACCCGTGGCCTCATATTGGCGCACAAGCCAAAACTCCCTCTGCGCAGTTGGAAAATTGTAGGGGGACCCCTGATCTCTGTGTAAATCCATACAAACCCCCCTGAATGGGTGAGATCAGCCCCGAAGAATGGGGGGTCGGCATGGTAGGGAAGGGGAGGGGGTTTCTGCTCTGGCAGCCGGGAACGTGTGTCCAAACCAGCACCCGTGGCCTCATATTGGCGCACAAGCCAAAACTCCCTCTGCGCAGTTGGAAAATTGTAGGGGGACCCCTGATCTCTGTGTAAATCCATACAAACCCCCCTGAATGGGTGAGATCAGCCCCGAAGAATGGGGGGTCGTGGTGGCCAGGGGGGTCCCCGGGTATCAGGGAGAGAAGGGGGGTGAGCCGACTTATTACCTCACTCAACGCTCAGGGATTTCCAGGCTGTTTCTGTGACATTATCTCGGCTTTTCTCTACTTATGTGCCCAGATGGGCAGCTGACGCAAATCCAGAGTCTCATTGATTTTAGTGGAGTTATTGCGGAATCCCAGAACAGTAGAACGGGAAGGGGCTTCCAGATGTCATCGAGTCCAGCCCCCTGCCCTCACGGCAGGACCAGGCACCGTCTAGATCATCCCTGACAGGTGTGTGTCCAGCCTGCTCTTAGATATCTCGTGATGGAGATTCCACAACCTCCCTAGGCAATTTATTCCAGTGTTTAACCACCTGGACAATGAGGAAGTTTTTCCTAATGTCCAACCTCAACCTCTCTTGCTATTTCAATGTATCCCCAGTTCCAGCCATGTCAGCGCTGCCGATCCTGTCTACTTTTCTACAACATCTCTGGTTTAGGTTTCTTATCCACCGACACCTTCTCAAACACATTTTGGGTCCTGAGCCTTTTTGAGTCTCTGACACTCATTTAAGGCCCTCACGAGAGCTGAACACTTTGGGAAATCCAGTCCAGCGGTGCGAAGCACCATGGTGATTCATGAGTCTCGTGTAGCATGAAAAGAAAAGTCTCAGAGGGGTCGCTGGGTGAGTCTGTAACTTTAAAAACAACGAGGGGTCCTGTGGTACTTTAGGGTATGTCTACACTGCGCATGGGGGTGGAAATAACAGAAACCGAGAGATCGATAGATAGATATAGAAATGTGTGTGCTTGTGTCCCACTCATAGCTTTTGATGTGAAAACGTGGATGTTAAAGGCAGGGGAAATTGGCTTTGTAGTGCGCCAACCAGTTACTGTCTTCATTCAAGCCCAGGATAACAGTGTCAAATTTGTAGATGAATTCCAGTTCTGCAGGCCTGCTCTGTAACTGGCTAGTGAGGTTCCTTTGTGGAACAATGGCTACTTTTAAATCCATGCTTGAATGGCCAGGCAGGTTAACACGTTCCCCTACAGGTTTGTGTGTGTTACCATTCCCAATGCACCTGGCAGAAGGGCACTGCTGGCGCTCGATGGCACAGATCACATTGGTGGACGTGCAGTTGTAGGAGCCCCTGATGTGGAGGCTGACGTGGTTACATCATGTTGATGGTGTCGCTTGTATAGATGTGTGGACAGAATTGGGAAGGGGGGTTGTGGCAGGGGTTCCTGGGTGACTGTCAGAGGTGTGTTGTGGGTCTCGCCAGGTTTGTGCGCTTGAGGGATCCTGTAAAAGGAAAGTGCCAAAAAAGGTGACAACAGAACGTCTCTCTTCTGCTGCCGCAGGGAGGGGAGGGAAGCAGTTTTGCACGGGAGCAGGACCGATCGATCGGACGGCCCGCTCGCGTTGGCACAGAGCAACCCAGGCGACCTTGCTCTGAAGGGAGAGCCGGGACCGCCAGGACGAGACTCGGCCCTGACGAAGCGTAAGGCTGGAGCGAACCGGGTGACCGCAGCGCGTTCCCGCGGTTGGGTCCTTCGGGCCCCGAATGACGTGCACCGGCCGTGCCCTCGTTCACACTGCTTCTCGTCTTGCCCAGGCAGAGGCCTAGAGGCGACAGTTATTTCCAAACAGTCGCCGTGTTGCTCAGAGATGCAGCAATCGCTTTGCACTGGGGTGTGGCGAAGGGATGACCTCACTGTTTGCACCGCTGCAGGGCATGCCTTGCCCAATTCATCAGGCAGATAATCCGCCTCATCAAGCCAATCCCAATTGTTCAAGCAAATAAAAGAGGCACCCTCAGCCTCGGAGAACAGAGGTGCATCCTTCTCTTCATTGCTCTGTACTCTCCAGAAACCTCTCTCCTTCCTTCCTTCCTCCCGTGACTTCGGTTTACCCAGACCCACGACAATGTCCCACCAAGCCAGCATCAGACTCCAGGGCGGCAAACGCGGCTTCAGCGCCTGCTCGGCCGTCGTCCCCAACAGCTGCCGTACCAGCTAACGC